AAAAACTATTCAACAGTTTAACCCTGGAAATGTGCAGCTAGTGTAAGAAGTGGAAATCAATCATGACCATTCTTACTGTACACACAAAAATAAACAACCCTATCATTAAATGTGTTTGTATACATAAAAAATTCCATATATTCAGTGTTTATATTGTTGTCTTTTCGCATCCTTTCAACTGCAAGTCTACATTTTTGGTTATATTTTACTTAATTGTATATAAAATATTATATGCTTAATTTAGTAAAGTAATGTCTGCATCCCGGGCAAAAAAGCATCTTTGAATTAAATTGATTTGAACTGATGAGTAAGATACATGTGGGAGCAGATGAGATATTAGATACACAAACGCCGGGTGATAAGAGGTGTCACCTGAGTGCTTTGTTTTGGTTGAGAAGTCGAGGGAAAGCTTAAAGAAGAGGGCTTTTTTGAGTGCGGTGTGGGTGTGTGTGTGGGGGGGGGATCAAGACATCTGCACAGGCTTTGAAGAGGTCAGCCACGGGACAGGAACCATTCTTAATCCCCCCAGCTGGGCCTGCGAGAGAGGATTTGGACCTCTGCTCGCTCTCCACCCCCACCCACAACAGTAGCTAATTGAGTGCCAGCACTCTGATCGCAGCATTTCCATGTAAAGCCCTGCGTGCTTTCTCAGGGCTTTGGAGTTATGACCAGGAAATCCCTCTTACTGTATACCTGCGATCATCAGCGATACCGGGCAGAGGATTATACACATCCTCGAACACATCCATTGTTTTGTCTGTGCTTACAATTGTGTGCCTATATAATGTGTTTTTGTCATGGTTATGTTTTGGTATTTTTTTAGTTGGATGCAGCAGTTCCCCTAATTCAGTTCAGTCTTCTGCAAATAGAAAAAATATTGTAGCTTTAAACGTAACCTGCATCAGCCAGTTCTCATTTCCAGTGCCTCAGTAGACATCTCTGTATTTTGTGCACTAGATTCTTGCTTTTTATGCAGATGCTGACATGTACATTAAGTTGTGGCAATAACGAAAGGTGTCTGCTACCCCCAGTTCATCATATGTGGAGGTTTGCAAGGGACCTCTGTGAAGGGGCGTATTTAAAACTTTTTTTATTGTGAAAAAATGACTGAAAACAAACAGAAAGAGCAAATGAAAAAAGAACAAAACAAATTGTAAAACAAAAACTACATTAATGCATTTAATATCAGATGCAGGGTTGGCTACATTTTGTAGGGCCAGTACGAATCAGGTGCAAGGGATGACTCTGGCCAGAGTCTCTGCTGAATCTGGAAACCATCAGCTAGTGTCTGACAACAATTTAGCCTTTTATTACATTTATTTGCATTCTGGAAGTCTTGAAATGGATATTTACTCTCTGTTCTCCAGCCATTCTCCCAGAGGCTGCGTCAGCTGATTAGCTGATAAGTTTACAGATTGGTCATTAACTGCTGCTTGTGGCTGTATGTAAGCTAGAAGCATGCTGGCATTTGAACAGGACTTTCCGCATGATGTCTGCAGCATGTCATATGGCAAAAATATCCAGTCTTCTTTAACATTTGTTTTTAAATCACTAATATTAGTCTCAATGTGCAATCATTTTATAGTTTTGCAGTTTTGCACTTTGAAATTCTTTTAATCAGATGAATAAAATGTGTTCTTTTCTCAGACATCATGTTACTTGGACATTCCCAAATTGAGTTATGCTACTGGGCTTCAGCTTCTGCTGCACTGACCCAGTTTGATCAGTGCCCCTCCCCCAAGTATACCATATTACCATGCAGGCTAAAGCGGGTCAAGTGAAGGTTGTCGGGGTGATCAGCCAACTGGAAAACTCACTGGTTCAGAGGTCATGGATAAGCCATGCTGTCGGGTGATTGGTCAGACAAATCAAATTAGCATTCGCCGGTGATCCCGCCCCAAACCGCCACCCAGGAAGAATGAGGTGAGGTGGATTCATGCATGTAGATCTTGATCTGTAGCTCTACCAGGAATGGTACAATCATTCAGACATAACACAGTATTTGTAGTCTAGGGTTTTTACCAGCACAGGATGCTGAATAAAGCTATAGGATTACTCGCTTTGTCACTCTGTCCCTGGAAGAGGATGATCTACTTTCACAAGTGTCAGAATAAGCTTACAACAGCACGCAAACCACAGCATGGGACTTTGAGGGGAAAAAAAAGTATTGCATAATAATTATGCAACCTGTTACTATCATGGGTAATGCTGTGCTTATGACAAGGAAGCAA